CCCCCCCCCCCCCCCGCCCCCTTACCAACAGCAGGAGCTCGCAGCCGCGACACCCGGCCAGAGCCACCTGCGCTCCCCACGCTGCCCAGCGGGAGCGACAGGCCAGAGCGCGGCCCGCGCGGTGGCATGGCTGCGGGGAAGGAGGGACAGCGGGGGAGGGACCAGGGACTAGGCTCCCCAGCCGGGAGCTCAGGGGCCGGGCAGGATGGTCCCGTGGGCCGGATGTGGCCCACGGGCCGTAGTTTGCTCATGTCTGACTTAAGCACATGCTTAAATGCTGTCCTGAATCAGAGTGTTAGTGATAAATGATGCTTTAGTGATTAGTTCACTGGGACTTTGACTTGTGCCCATGCAGAAGAGCTGATGTGAATAGAGATACTTTCCTGAACTGGAGTGTGAGGCCTTATACTCCAGTTCAGGTATTTAAGCATGTGTCTAACTTTAAGCATGTAAGAAGCCCCTTAGCTTCAATGCGGCTACTCAGGTGCTTAAATTTCAGCATGTGCTTAAGTACCTTGCAGCTTCAGGGTTTATAGCCCCAGTCTTCAGTGAGCTCCACCCCCGCATTCATGCAGAGCTCATTGTAGAATCAAGGGCTACAAAGCCTATAAAGCCTGTTCTGCCACCATTTCTTAATGTTACCATTACTTATGTTGATTAGTACCATATTCTATGACTATTCCCACTGAAATCATGTTTTACTTGCATGTCAGTGGGATGACTCACAGAGTAAAGCACTACTCAACACAAGTAAAGGTCACTGAATCAGCCTCCAAATAAACTGTCAATAAAAGTTAAATCAACCATTACATTAATTTTAAAAATACCAATAAAAATGTACCATGGTTTTGAAATACTCTTGAGTTCCAATGCATGAGATGGAAGGTCCCACGCCTGCCTCCAAAACCCACTGAAGTCAATGGAAAGATTCTCACTGACTTCGATGGACTTTGGATCAGGCCCTAAGACAGACCCTCCCCTTTTCAGTGAATGTAGATGTTGAAAGAGTGAAAAGTGTCATCAAAAAGTCTGTTCATTGTTACACGTATATTCTGATTCAGGAATTAGTTCTTGCAGTGTCTTGGATAGCTTTATAACTAGTCACTGGATTTTTTTCTTTAATTGTAAAACAACAGGTTAATACGCAATACTAAATGATTTTTCTTGCATGGTCTATGCTGCTTTGTTTATGCAGCTGTAAAAAGAAGCATATTAACAAAAAATAAAAAAAGAAAGAACAAAACCACTTTCAACTTGAGTCTCCGACACTCCAATCAAGTGCACTGTCAACGTGCCAGATGCAAGCACCACATGAGCCACAGAAAAAGCTTTTGTGAGGCATAGGGGGGAATCAGGTTTGAGTCTGTAATGTACTGATCCTAATGCATATATTTGTTAGTTGTGGTTTTGCTGAAATTAAACAGTTGGGCAGCTTTGAACTTGGATTGCAAATGCTGATGGAACGGGGTTCCCAAGATAGACATTATTTGTGTTGTAGAAGGGAGGTTAATAGAAAATGGACATGGAGGTTTAAAAGTATCATTTTGGGGCAATGATTATTATTGTTTACTATATGTTTGTACAGGGCCTAGCACAATGGGGTCCAACCCGGTTTAGGCCTGTAGGCACTACTGCAATAACAAATAATCATCATACCAGTTTGGGGGTCAAATACCCAACTGTCACGTTAGGTATGAAAGACAATTCTGTGGATATCGTGGGACACTCACAGCTGTGTTTTAGTCCTGGCAAACCACTGAAAATATACATTGAAATAAGTGGGGGCAGGTAACATTGATTTGCACTCACATACTAGGGTGATGAGCTTAATCACAAAAAACTAAGATATATAGATCACATTTTTGCAAGAGAAAAGACATAACATCCCAGTGCAAACTCACTACCAGTCTACCATTAAAGAGCAATAAACTGCCAGAGGCTGTGCCTTAAAAAAAGCAAACCTATTATTTTCCAAAAAATTCCCCTCCTCCTACACACATATATCTGATCACATATAAATTAAATATGCTAGGTATTATTCTTACCGCATTTCTGATTATAAGATTATTACACCTCTTACCTGCCCTATAATATGATTTCCTCCTCACATGCACACATCCACTATTCTCGGGAACAGTTGTGGTTTAGCAGATAATTAGGACCACAAGTTCCATTAACTTTTAATTGGACTTGAGCTTCTAACTACCATTGGTGCTTTGGAAGATCCCCAGGGCTCTTCCACCAGTTCCTTGTATGATTTGGGCAAGTCATTAATATGGTCAAATACCACAGTGGTGACTGCAGTATAAGAACAGAATGTTTACACATTCAGTTTTACAAAGTGTTTGCTCTGTTCTTATTGAAGTCTATGCCAAACTCCCACTAACTCTAGTGGTAACAGGTTCAGGCCTTTAATAAACACCAACCACAATATTTATTTATTTTTATAATGATGAACAATAATCTTCTGCATAAACCCTACATTCATTGTTACCTGGCTTCTTCTAACACTGCCCCCATCACCCGGTGTTTTTCTTCATGTTTGACGTCTTCATTTATATCCGTGCCACCGAAGATGATTCCAAAAGGAATTCTACTACCTGCAAAATGAAAATAACTATGAGACAGGCAGGAGAGCTACATGTAATCTAATAAGATTAGGACTTGAAGAAAGTACTAGTGAATAGCATTGGTGAACATGAGATGTTATTCCTACAACAGTGTGTATCTCCAAGCTATGTTTCTACACTCATCAGCACAGTCCTTTGGGTACGTCCAGACTACCCGCTGTATCAGCGGGTAGCGATCGATTTATCGGGGATCGATATATCGCGTCTCGTTAAGACGCGATATATCGATCCCCGAACGCGCTCCCCGGAGCGAGCGGCGGTAGTGGAGTCAACGGGGGAGCCGCGGCCGTCGATCCCGCGCTGTCAGGACCCAAGGTAAATCGATCTAAGATACTTCAACTTCAGCTACGCTATTCACGTAGCTGAAGTTGCGTATCTTAGATCGATCCCCCGCCCCAGTGTAGACCAGCCCTTTGACACCTGGTTAAGCTGAATTTTAATGGGATCATGCAATATGTATACTCTATTACATGCATGCTAGTCTATTATCTACCTGTAATGTTTTCTTAGGCCTTGCCTATACTCAGCCAAAAGGCTGTTGCAATAAATAGTTGGTTGGAACAGCCTGAGTTTCCTTACTCAGCTGCCTTCCAAGCATTTTACAAGCATTGGTTGAACCAGTTAGTTGCTACATTTGAGAAAAGGTCTTTAGCTGAGATAAGGCAGAATAGGTGAAGTCTGCTATAGTTTCTCCCTAGAGAACTGAAGCTGCTCTGGATCAACCATTCTGCTTAACTCTGTCCCATGATACAGCACCTGCTCGGGTTTACAGATTATCCAGAAGCAGCTTCTGCAAGGAACAATGTTTGGTCACTATATGAAATGTACTTCAGGAGTCCCAAAACGTGCTGGTGCAACAACAGTTGTAAGCGTGCTGGGTGTGCCAACATCTTATTTTATTGGGGCTGCTGTGAATGAGGCCTTGTCAACACTCAAGTTTGTAGTCAGAGGTATAGCTACATCAATATACTGCACTGGTGCAAAAACCTTTTGTAGACATACTGCACTGGTGTAAACTGGGACTTGCACCAGTATAAGGGTAGGGTTCAAAGTTTACACCAGGACAACTACATCTGCGTTTCTACATTGATGCTAAAGCCTTAATGTGAACATGGCCTAAGATTACTTAGAGGGGAAAAATTGTGATAAAAATGAGATTCCATTCTAATAGCATTTGTTTATTTGGAACCAGATGATTTTTAGTACATAGCAAGTTACCAAAAAACTAATCAACATAGCAGACAGAGGATATTATCCTCGATTCTTTAAGAATTACAAGAGCACTGAAAACAATTAAGTGGTCACTTTTAAACTTCATTAAGCTACAAATAACAACCTGATTGCTGCTAATTACAACACACATGCTTTTAAATTCCAGATAAATGAGATTACACTTTGGCAGAACAAACAAGTCTCTAGCAATATTGGAAGAGAGGGATGCAGTTATCAGATCTGTCATCTAGGCTACTGATTTTGTGGGTTTCATATGGAATTGTGAAGTTCTATAGGTCAGGGTAGAGGAACCTTTACCAACTGTCTATTGCCTGGTGTTTGTAGCTATCGATTATTAACCCTTTGGGGTAGAGGTCTGTCATTTTGTCTCTAAAGCACCATTGTGCTTCATAATTGATAACCCATAATATTGTACATTTAAAGATGCTTTAAAGAGGACCGCAAAGGGATGATGATGTGGTTCCCCTCCCCTCCCGCCCCTGCAAAAGGGCTTTTTTTACCTTTGGATGGTAGTGGTGTCAATGATTCAGCAGATGGCACTCTTTCCTCTGAACATTAGACCGATGTACAAACATGGCTTGGGAGCAACATGCTTCTGAAGACACCATCTTTTGGAGGAGAGATAACTAAGGCCCTGACTACTCATCGTTGTTAATATTTTACTATAGAACCCCATCCTGCAGCCCTTTCTCATGTAAGTTATGGTTACAGGATCAGGATCAAAATATTCACATATGGCACTACGCTGGTAAATGTTTTTCAATTATTACAAGTTTTTATTATTATGAAATATACAGGGAATAGATGTTACTGTTAACATGCCAATTACTAAATTTCTGAAATCAATTACTGCATCTCCTCCACATTCTGTTCTTTCCCCCCTTCAAACACTCAGTAATCTCTTCTAGATTTGTCAGTTCAATCATCCTGGTAATCATATTACTGTGCCTGTGTGTGTGTGTGTGTGTGTGTGTGTGTGTGTGTGTGTGTGTGTGTGTGTG